TGTACCAACCTAAAATGGCCACCCCAGAACTGCCCTTAAAATGGCTGCGCCACCTAAGCAAGCCTATAGAGCCAGTTAAGTCTGCATGGGGGGGAGTGAGTGAAGGCAAAAGAAAAGCAGGCCCTGTTTCTGCACTTAAATTGGCTAAACGACAAGGCAAGCAATGCCCACCCTAGTTGAACTATGACCGCCATGGGGTGGGGGTGTAATCTGGTCACAAATAGCTCCACACAAACACCCTTTATCATCAGGCTGGACTAGCCCAAAGCGTCTGCAAGGGCGGTGAGGGAAAACTAGGCAATATTGGGAGGGGGCGCTGCTAAACAGCCCGAGCAAGGTGAGGGCGGGAGTGGCAGACTAAGCAGACTTACCAACTGCTGTTGCCCAGGGCCCTAATTAATTCCCACACACACACTAAAGAGAGTGCAGGGGTTTTTTTGTTTGTTTTTGAAATGCCAAGAACTGCGAGCCATTGACGCGGCCCTGCAGATCAGGCCACAACGCAGGCTGGCGACAGAGAGCCGCCCCAAAGCCACAGCCGCATGATCAGGCCCGGTCCCTCGCCGCTGCCACCCTACACCACACCGTCAGAATACTCCCGGGCTTCAAAGAACACCACCACCACGCCACACGCCGGAGACCAGCAGCTGCCTCCCTTCGACCTTTGCTGCCACTACTGGCCCGCTCGACTGGCCGAAAGCCTGCAAAAAGGTCTCAGCCTTCCAGCGATGTACTCGGAGCTGCTACTCAGTCTGAGCACGAGGCGGCAACTGTAAGGGGAGAGTATAGCCAGCCATTAAAGCAGCACCAGCTCCGCTCCCCCTTAAGGAGTCCAGGCTGCAACTGCAGCCCTTCCCCCTTCCTCCTCTCAAGGAGGCAAAGGTGGTCCTCATGAGGCATGCTGTTGGCTGTCTCATATAGGACTGAATTCTCCTCTCCCTTTTGCAATACTGACATTAAACACATTCCTTCTTACTCCCATGCAGTTTGGGTGGGAGGGAAGAGAAATGAGCTCTTTCTATGCCTCTGCAGTACAGAGATCAAAAGCATTGCTCCTGTCTTCACCTAGCTTGAAGGGGAAGGAAGAGAAAGGAGCTCTTTCTCCGCTCCCTTTTGAAATTTCACTATGTAGCTGTTTTGCTTGCAGAGTGGGGGGAGACATTAGAATCTGTTGATCAGCTGTGAGTCAAGTACTGAGCAACAGGCAGCTGCAAGCTTGTTGGGCCATTGTTCACGCTGCTCAGTGCAATCCAAACATATCCCGATCTGCTCACAGTCTAATCAAGAGTGTCAAACATGGTAAGTCTGACTGCCAAAAAGGTTCACTGAGAAATTTGCAGCATCCCTGCTTAGCACCACACCTCAGTAATCCATGCTATGTGTCAGCATCTTGGACAAAGTTACTCTCAACAACACTCACTTAAAGTGATTTATTGAAGAATAAAGATATTCCCAGCTAAGAACACTGTTGAGTCAGAACTGATACTCTGGCGTGAAAACCTGGTTCAAGCGTAGTCCCCTCCAATCACACTGACCATTCCCGCTGAACTAGCACGCCTCTAACCCTCCCCCCATGTGTAAATCATCCATTTATCTCAGTTAAGGTGGCAAGCAGGGAGAAAGAGAGACAGACCAAGGCCATCTGGCCGGCATGCTTGGGAACGGAAGATATCTTCAGGAAGTTACATGAGATGCATTGCCCAACAATAAAGCCATTCTCACTCTCACACATTCACCCTCCCCTGGAATTTCCCCCAATACATGGCAAACGAGTCAGCAAGGTTGACATTCTGCCCCCCCAAAGGCCTTGCCCTCCCGGTTTCTGGGGGTGTCATTTATGAAACGTGCACACTAATTGGGAGCATTTACATGCTTCTCCTGCACCCATTCATTATGGCTGGGATCAAAGTCCTTCCATTTGATGAGATAATACAGGCGGCCACATTTCACTTTAGAATCGAGAATGTCCTCCTTGGTGTAGTTCTCCTTGTACAATCAGGGGAAGAGGAGCTGCAGGACAAGGTCTCCAATTCAATGGTTCTGGATCCTACTTCAGTAGATTAAAATGGATGGATGTGATGCAAGCTTTTAGGTAGTTCTTCCATCTCCCTCTGGAGCTCCATGTGGAATTGGGTGAGCTCACTCTCCTCTGTGATCTGCATCCACTCTGGGTCATCTTGGAATTAGCAGGACACACATCTCTGGTCCATCGCAGTCCAGAATCACTTCTGCTGGGGTCCGGGGGTCATTGCCCGACTGGGTTCAGCCCAGCTGGGAAGGGGGGCCCAGGAGTCTCTCAGCTTTGCTCCAGTGTCTGGGCCTCTCCCTTCACATGTTGGGATGATGGTTTTGGTGGTCTGGGGTTCAGGTGTGGACCCACCACCAGACACTGTGTCCTCGTTGCCCTTGCTCATCACGATCGTGGTGCAAAGGCTCAGGAGAATGGGAGTTCTGACTCTATGTCAGCCCCTTGGACAAAGTTATTCTCAACAACACTCACTGAAAGTGATTTATTGAAGAATAAAGATGTTCCCGGTTAAGAACATTGTTGAGTCAGAACTGATATTCTGCCACGAAAACCCTTAATTATACCTGGTTAAAATGTAGACCCCCTTCAATCACACTGACCATTCATTCCCACCGAACTAGCGCACCTCTAACCCCTCCATATGTAAATCATCTGTTTGTTATCCCATCTAAGGCGGCAACCAGGGAGATAGAGACAGACTGAGGCCATCTGGCCAGCATGCGGGGGGGGGGAGGAAAATATCTTCAGGAAGTTACATGAGATGCATTGCCCAACAATAAAGCCATTCTCACGCTCACACATTCACCCTCCCCCCTCCCCTGAAATTTCCCCAAATATATGGCAAATGAGTCAGCGAGGTTAATACTATGATGTGACCATGCTGTTGTTTTAGACTGCAGAGCTTCAGGGCTAGATGAACAGGAAGTGTCCCTGAAGTTCACTGATTTCATGCTACCTGGGAAAAAGAATTTCCAGTTGTTTTATTTCTACACTGCCCTCTGCCTTGATACCATGCAAGTCCCAACTTGTGGTGCTAATTATTGGTATTATTTTTTTAAACATCAGAGTTTCTCTAGGCTTTCATTTAGCTAATAGCTGGAGAGTCTTCCTCAATAGCTAGAACATCAATGGATTGTGATGGCTGGTGAGTGATAGCTACAGAGATATGTGACCCATTCCATCCTTGTGGAGGGAATTAGAGAAACAACTTTCTGGTTTAATCCTGATCCAATAGGTGGCACTGTTCACAAGTAGCAACAAAACATGCATTTTCATTATGGGAATGAGCCGTGGAAATTGTCAAGCTTATGTGCCCCTCCCCTCCCCTCCCCTCCCCTTGTGTGCATCTGAAATGATTTATGTTTTTGCAGCAAATGATAGTTTATTGTTAAGGTGCCACAAGGCTCTAGTTTATTTAAAGGATGGTGTGTTCTGTTGCTGTGAAACCAGAATTAAATTGTGATTTAATTTTCAAGCCACACATAAGGAGTGAAGGGAGAGGGAGAGAATGCAAGCCCCTGGATTTCTGAGGTTCGTTCCTGGCGCAGCAAACTCTGGGTTTTGTTAACTTGTGAACCACACTACTCAAAAGGAGAAATAAACAGTTGTAAGCCTCATGCAGGCTAGGCATCGTAGCCGTCAGCGCACAGAAAAATGGGTTTTTAAAAAGGAAAAAAGCCTCACCACAATTGATACAGCTAATCTTTGCATTTCCCTGGCGGAGATAAGCTTGTCTCTGAAGTCATGGACACAGGCAGAGACACTTTTCAGTTTATAGATTTACAAAATAAGGGCTTAGAATCTGTCTCCAGGAGTGTCTTGGGCTCCTAGAACTGGCATTTAACTTGGAAGGATGTCTTACAGGCGTGCTCGGAAGAAGTGCTAATGCTTCACTGCACTGAAAGGGTGAGGTGTGCTTAGACAAAGATCAGCCAGATTTACATCCTCTTTCAATCTTTATATCCTTTGCTTGTGCTTGCACTGCCTTGCCCACCTCGGGAATCAGCTCCGTTGATTTCAATGGAACATATTTCTTTTCGAGTACTGAGGCATTATGATCACAGCCTACACTGTAATCCTGAAACATTTAACTGATCACCCATTGAGTCTTTCTGCCGATCCACACATGTCTGCAGCCCCAAGCAATGATCTACATGTTTGAATAGGCCATCACAGAGGAGACTCATTAGGCATAATACTTCTGAAGGGATATGGCTCACATAGTTACCAAGTCAACCAACGCTGGGGGACCCAGGTTCAAACCCTCCAGTCTGCCATGAAGTTCCCTGAGTGGACTTGGGTCATTTATTCTCAACCTGATCTACCTCACAAGAACCAAATGGAAGAAGAGGAAACGTTGTTGTAAGCTGCTCTGGGGCTCAACTGGAAGCAGGGAACAATGTTTGAACAAGGCTACGGTAATACCGAGTAGTATTATTACTACTTCCCCAAGACAGAACCATGCTTTCCAGCTGGAACAGTAAAATTACTGTAGGAAGCCCAGAACTTGCTGCTGTGGGGCAGGTTCTTGGCCTATTCTGGAAAATTCATGGAAGGTGGGATGTCCTTTGGCCAAGGTACCTCACATCTCTGCCCAGAGGCATCCATCATATTCACAGGGGACAAAGATGGGTTATGACTAGGCTAAGCCTCCCCTTGTCTGGCCTGGCAATGGCATTATCTCTGCTTCTCATCGTACCGGAGTCCTCAGAACATGTGGAGAGGTTTTGCCACACTTATGGTGCCATTCTAACCAGAGTGATGTCCTTCTAAGCCGACAGACCTCAACGGACTTCAAAGAGTGTAACTCTGCCTAGGATGGCACTGAACCCATCCTATCACATTTCTGGAATGGACTGTATAATCCATTCTGGATATGTGATCCATTTGGAGTTCCAGAGTGATTTTTTTTGGAGTGAAATCACTTGTGGTTGTTGCCGGGGATTGAGTCTGCTATTTGTTCTCTGCCTAGCTATCATCTGCAAACCTCCCCAAGCTGTCCCCAATGGCAAAGTTGTGGGTTCAGATTTCACCTGGGGCTCCAGCGTCAGCTATGCCTGCCTAGATGGATATCAGCTTTCCCTGCCTGCTGTGCTGACTTGTGAAGGAAACGGAAGCTGGACTGGAGAAATCCCACAGTGTTTCCGTAAGCAGACAACCCCCTTTGTGCCACAAACAAAAATGAGACTAAAACAGGAGGGACAAATTTTACCCTACCCATTATGGTCGGTGATAAAGGTAATCTGAGTTAGGCAAACAACAGGGCCTGAAGGCCCACTGAGAATTGACGGTGCCATCATTTTGACTTGAGCCCAGCACAGAGCTGGAGATCCTTCTCCTTTGTCTGAGAAGTGCAAAGAAGAAGTGACAACTTTCACAGTGCTAGACAGGGACCTAGAACCAATGAACATCGGAATGAGGAGAGAAAGGTCTGTATAAATGCTGGGAGCACCTTAAAGGCCTCCCTCATTTTGTGTTCCCCATTCTTATCCATTCCTTGCTGGTTAAGGGTTTCCACTTGGGAGTCTTGGCCAAGGGCCACCAAAATGCAAATCCTTAACTGTCCATCTTCTTTGATCTTGTATTAGTGAGAAACATTCAGTAGTGTTTGCTGAGCTTTTCTCCAACCCCCTTTTTCATTTAGACAGAAAAGAGGATCTCAGCTTTGTTTGCAGATCCCTTCCTCAATACCTGGAAAGTGTTTGAAGGAGTCTTACATTGCACAATCCCTCACTGAAGGCAACTGTGTGTGATTAAACAAGCTTTGGGTTTCTTGGTTCATTGAGATAAAAGTTGTTGGCCACCATCCGGGACCAAGGCTTTGTCCAGTTCTCATTCACAACCATTTCCATTCAGCAACTATTAAACGATGCTCAGAAGAATGTCGCTTTCTGCATTCTGCACTTTTTGCTTCACCTATTATATAATGAATGGGGTGTGTGTGTTAATGCAGTGCCATATGACGATTTGGCATTGTGCAACTAAAGAACCATTTTAAATTTAAGCCAATGCATGAGAGAGCAGAAGAGAAGCTTGCCATCCATTCCCCCCTAACCTGTCTGCCAGGAGATGGTGAGAAGGTAGAAATTAATTAAGCAGTAATTGACAACAAGGCGCCCAAGTGCACCCAAAGACATACCTGTCCTGCCAGCAGCAGGATTTCCCCCCCTAGAAATATCACAGGACTAGGGAAGGAAGGTAGCATGATGCAGCCCAGTCCCATCAGATCTCGGAAGCAAGGCAGGGTCAGTACTTGGATGGGAGACCACCAAGGAAGGCTCTGCAAAGAAAGGCTATGGAAACCATCTCTGCTTCTCACTTGCTTTGAAAGCCCCTTGCTGGGGTTGCCATGAGCCCTTTGCAACTTGTCAGCACTGATGTACATAGAGGGGGCTAAAAATTGGATTGGGAGATTTTTAACTTAATCGAGTCAGCCTTCATTTGGAGCTTCCTTGCCCTCTTGCAGCTGTTTTCTGTGGCGATCCAGGGATCCCAGCTCATGGAAGGCGTGAAGAGAGGGGCTTCACCTACCGGTCCTCTGTCTCATATTCCTGTGTCCCCCCACTGGTGCTGGTGGGCTCCCCTAGGAGGTTCTGCCAGTCTGACGGCACCTGGAGTGGAACGCAACCCAATTGCATTGGTAAGGGCATGGGGCCTCAAGGGGAACTGCCCCAATGTGGGTCATTGGACATACCATCACCTCCCCTTCTGCTGCTGTTTAATCCACAAAACCCAAACAAAGCTGAAAGTATTTCACGAGAGAGAAATCCCTGCTGATAGAGTACAGTCTCTCTTGGGAGTAAACCCCATTAAACATACTTGAATAGGACTCTGAGTAGACCTGCTTAAGGATGGTGCTGCCAGATTTGCTTCCAAATATTCCCACAATTTGGATTCTACCGACAGGAAGTTTGTGCTGCACTGTGGCCAGAAGTGTGATTTGAGAGCAGGGATGAAGGGCTCCCAGGGTGGTGTTACACAAGCTGCCCCCCCCCCAATGCTGCGGTTTTCCTTTGTTCATCAGTCTTTAACCACAGTCCTTTGTTCTTCCATTTAGACGCAACTCTTACAACATGCGTGGACCCTGGCGTGCCTCTATTTGGAACCCAAAACAATTCCCAAGGTTACCAGGTAATCAGTTTTATTGTCATAGCTCAATTTTTAGCTCATCTTTCCTCTTCTTCTCTTTCTAAGCTGTCTTCTTTACCTATTTATTTATTATTTATTAATTTAATTTATACCCCACCCTCCCTGCTGAAACAGTGTTGAACATGCTAGTATCTGTTGATCCATCTGATTCACAATCTTCCAGGGACAAATTCCATGTAAAGTTTTCCAGACCTAGAATCATAGAATGTTAGAGTTGGAAGGGATCTTGCAGGTCATCTAGTCCAACCCCCTGACTCACATGACCAGGACATACAGATGTTGTACAAATAGTTTCCCAAGTCAAAAAGGAAGCCACAATGAGGAGGAAAGTTCATTGGGTATTTAATTTCAATCAAATAACTGAAAACAGTTAGGCCAAACCAGCCTATCAAAAATTGATTGCTTTCTGAGCAATATCAGGAAGTACATGAAATTTTATAGCCAGAGGTAAAAAGATAACATCCAAAAATCATAATTGGTCACAAAATGACAGAGCATCATCTGAGTAGTCTTTCATTCATTGGTCAGTTACAAGAAAGGGTGTGCCTACATGATATTATACTTAACCTTATTAATAATACCCAAGGATTCTTCATACCCAAACAGAAGGTGTTGTTTTCTGATATGAAACTAAAGCCCTTGTTGACCCAGACACTGGCAGAGTTTTTACCCCAAACAACTAAAACCATGAACTCTATACTTCAGGCAAATACATCAGTTGAAAAACCTATCTTCTGATGTACCAGCAATACTGTACCGAAGGCCTCTTAAAAACACCAGACAGATAGATAGCTATTTCATCCAAGCAACTTAAAGGGAAAAAAAGAATGTTGTTTCTTGTCTGCTAGCATCAGCTAAAAAGACACTGTAACCTACAAAGGAGAGGCTTTACCACTTAATAGGCTTTTATTAAAACATACATTCATAAAACCTTATTATGGAAAAATTCATAAAACCAAAAAATATATAAGTATATAAATAATCTGAATTTAAAAAAATCATTATATATTCCAATCCATGCTACATAGACAATCAGTCCTAATTGTTCCCTCCGTAGGAACTGTCTAGAAGTTGTTAGATCACATCTTGCATTCCATCTTTCCCAGAGCTCCTCCCTCTTGGAAGTGTGTGTTCCCCAAAGTGAAGCTCTGTTACTGCTCCACACTCCCTGCTTCCCTAAGCAGGAAGTAATTCCAAGGGCAGCTTCATGGAATCAGCATCCTTGTGAGGAAAAAGAACTAAAGAGTGTTTGGTGTATATCTGTTTCTTTGCAGATAAGAGGCATGAGGAAAGGATGCTGTTGTTCCCCAACAGTATCAGAGCAGCAAAACATCAGCCTTTGCAGCCTTCCTCTCACCCCTTATCCGCCACCCCAAGCAAGGCTACTTCCTGTCAACTAGCATCTGAAATGCAAACGTTTCTTTTCTTTGGGTGCATCAGGACCACACCATGGGGAGGGGCCATGGCTCAGTGGTAGAGCCTCTACTTTACATGCAAAATGTCCCAGGTTCAATCTCTGGCATCTCCTATTAAAAGGACCAGGCAACAGGTTATGTGGAAGACCTCAGCCGGAGATGCTGGAGAGCCGCTGCCAGTCTGAGTAGACAGTACTGACCTAGATGGACCAAGGGTCTGAGCCAGTATAAGGCAGCTTCACGTATTCTTGCTAAGGGGAAGGAAGGGCTGTGGTTCAGTGATGGATCATCTGCTTGGCTTGCAGAAGTTCTTTGGTTCAATCCATGGCATCACCAATGAAATCAAATGGTGGGTGGTATGAAAGACATCTACCCAAGACTCTGGAGAGGAGCTGCCAGTCAAAGTAGGCAGTACTAACCTCAATAGACCAATAGCTTGACTTGGGATAAGGCAGCTTTATGTGGTCTTTTTAAGGGGAGGGGCTGTGGCTCAGTGGTAGAGCACATGCTTGGCATGCAGGAGGTTCCAGGTTCAATTCCTGGCATCTCCAGGTAAAAGGATCAAGTAGCATGTGATGTGAAAGACCTCCATCTGAGATGCTGAAGAGCAGCTGTCAGTTTAAGTAGACAACACTGACCTTGATGGACCAAGGGCCTGATTCAGTATAAAGCAGCTTCATGTGTCCATGTGAGCTGCAGGGATACTGCCGTGCACACTTCCCATTTGCAAAACAGCACACTTCCCATTTGCAAAACAGCAAGTCAGATTACACATGGTAAGGCAACACAAGCAAATAGCACGAGGCATCCAACCTACAGCACAATAGGACTAGGATCATAAAAATGGGAAACAATGCAAAAAAATCCAGACATGATATGTCATAAATAGTACAAAACAAGAATGGGATTTCAAAAGGAGAAGCAATGCGGTAAGAGCATAATACATAAATAAACAGAGAAGTAGGCTACAATCCTGTTCCCGTCATCAAAATGCCCTTCTGGACAATTTGGTTTTGCTCAGGAATGATAGAAGTGTGCGAACCTCCCTGACCTCCCCAGGCAGTCCATTCAGTGAGAGAATGCACACGTATGGACTTGAATCAAAGGCACTGATCTACCCACACCTTCCCTTCTCTGTGCGGCTTTTATCCCAAAGCTCGTGAGGATCTCTGAAAAGTAGCCCAGCATAGCCTGTTTCTGCTTAAGGCCCTGGCTCTAACAAGCAGGCATGTGCAGAGATGTATTTCCCCGCAGGGGTGTTGCAAGAGAAGGTGCTGTGATGATTCCAAGAGAGAGAGCCAGGAAGATTAATAAACAGGCAAAACCGTATTGTGAGACGAATGCCTGTGGTCCTGCGAGAATTGACAGGCATACATTTTCACAATGCAGAAGTATGGGGCACTTACCCATCCCCAGAATGATGGCTAAATATGCAGTCTGGTAGATGAGTGTCTGGGCAAACATGGATCCCATGGATTTCAAAGAAAGAACTGCCTACCTGCAGACAGAAAGGCAGAGCGAGGAAAGCATCTCTCAAAGATAATCAGGGATTCCTTATTAATCAGCACTTTTCCCCCAGTAAAGCACACCTCTTAGGGGAGCCAGATTCGACTCCAGTAGCACTTTAGAGACCAACAAGATTTTGGAGGTATGAGCTTTTGAGAGTCAAAGCTCCCATCGTCACTCAAAAGCTCATACCCTGAAAAACATCTTGGTCTTTAAGGTGCTACTGGACTCGAAATCTAGTCCTTCAACTGCAGACCGACACAGCTGCTCTCTGAAACATCTCTCTAGGGTGGTCAAAGCACACTGCTCCAGCATTCAACCGAAAGGGGTGGTTGTCACCAGTAGGTGGAACAGGGCTGCAATTGGGAGCAGACATGTGCATTGCATGAGTGGCAAAACCGGGGTCACGCAAGTGGGAAAACCATGCCAGCTGTTTGAAACTGAACGTCTGTACACCTGCTTTCTTGAAGCTCACCTTGCCCTGCTGATTATAGCCTCAACCTCAGTAGGAGGGCGTGTCCTGTATTCCATACCCCAGATACATCAGTTAGACATCTACCTGTAGTGATAAGGCCCTGTAAGAAGCATCCAGACATCATTTTGCACCGCAGAGCAGTGTTGCTACACATACATTATACACCATGTGCCATCAGAGCAATGGATCCAAGAGGATTTGCAAGGCCTGTGTTTCAAATTCATCTGTCTTGCAGGCTGGGAATTAAGCCGTTTCCTGGCTTGAAAAGGTATATATTTACCCTTTAAAGGGTCACTTGCTGGATTCCCACAGGGAGGTGCAAATATTTCTTTTTTAAAAAATGTCACTCATTTTCATTTCCTTCATAATGAATCCTAATTATTTCCATTATTACTGTTGTTTTCACTGCCATTGGCTGTAATGGGAAACCTATTTCTTTTGGTTTCGCATACAGTGGTGATGAAATTTTCACTGAAAGGACCATGCCTATAATATAGGAAGTTTGCAGGCAATTAAATGCAAGCACAGACTTCTGGCTTCAGCTTGTTTTCCATTGGGTTGGGATGAAATTCTGAGAATTGCCTAGCTTGCCCTGGGGGATTTTCCCTGCCACGTTTCAGATAGTTAGGAGAAAAGGGACCCTGGTGTATCAAAAATTAAAATAAAGGCCCTTGAATATTTTTAAACAAAATTAACACTGTAATATCTAGAAATCTACTTATCGAATAATCATTTAATGTGGGGAAATATTTGCAAGGGTTCTATCCAAACAAATTGAATGGGGGAGGGACAGCAGTTTAGAAATGCATATCCCATAAGAAGAAAAAGAAATGAGATTCATTCGTTCATTTTCTTTGCTTTCTCTGTGTGTTTCAAAACAAATGAAAACAAACGGGTGTTTCAGTTCATTTTTTCATCTGTTACAAAATGAACATATCTCTTGCTTTCCCATTCTGACAGGTTGGGAGTGTCGTTTTCTTCCGGTGTCATAAAGGATACCTGCTGCAGGGATCCACCACCAGAACATGTCTCCTGAACTTAACCTGGAGCGGAGTGCAGCCCAATTGTATCCGTGAGTCCCTATTTTTAAGGGGGATGTTTCTGCTTGCTTTCGTGGGATATCGTGCACTGCAAAAACAACAACAAAAACAACACCAGATGCCATGAAGCAGATCATCCATTCTGTCCCCACTTCTTGAATGTCTTGTGTGTAGAGTATCAGGGTGTGCAGACTGAAGGCCAGCAGATGTGGGCCAGGCGTGAAGGTAAGCAGGGGGCAATAGGTCTGAGAACAGCTTATTCTGTACCTGAGCCAACAAACTGATCAGAGTGAGGAGCTGTGAAGCCAAAGTCCGCACCTTTATATGAACAGGTGGAGCCCCATTGGCCCCTCAAGTCATGTGACCCCCTATTGAGCTGGTAGCTGCAGTACCTTCCTCTGGCCATCCACAGTGGTGGTGCTGGTATGCAGCTGAGATCAGGCCAGAGGGGTGGCAGAACTCTCTGTAGGCATCTGTCAGAACCCACAGCCAACAACAAAGTACACGCATTCAGGAATGGTTATACTTTTATTGCAGAGCTATAGATGCAGTAACATAGGCACTGTTAAGAATGGCGGCGGCCCCATGGGCATAATAGGATATAGGGTATTCGTATGCAACCCCCCCCCAGCACTGGCCAATTAGGCACCCTCCCGCGCGCAGGATAAAACTTAGAGACCCTTAGGTAGCTGAAGCTGAGAACGAACACTCTCCCACCCAGGGAAAACCCAGACACCACAACACCCTCCTGCACATCTGTATAGATAAGCATTTCGGCGCACAGCAGAGAAAGCACAGAAAGGAAAGCAGCACCAATTAACCTGAAAGGAAAGCAATAGCAATTAACCAGATACAGACCAAACTCCCCAACCTTCATGGCAGCATAGCTGACAGCATCAACAGGAGCCAGGCAACTGGGGTTACTCAGGCACAGGGAACTATTGTGCCCCTCCCTCCCTCCCTCCCTCCCTCCTTCATGCAGAGACCTTGATTTTTATTACTTTGTTTTAAGTAGCTTAGAGTTACCTCCATGTTTCAGAATGCTCTTATCCTACCTGTTCTAGCTCACAACTGCAAAGAGCCAGAGATGCCGTTCCATGCCAATGTGGATGCTCTGGATGTGCCTTCCCTGGGCTACACATTGATTTACTCTTGCCAGAGTGGCTTTTATCTCACGGGAGGTTCAGAGCACAGGACCTGCAAAGCTGATGGCAGCTGGACTGGGAAGCCACCTGTTTGCCTTGGTAAGCACACTGAGATAAGGTCCCCCATGCAAGCTGTTTAAGTAATCACTTTCCCCCATCTATATGTATGTCTTGCATTATCCTAGAGACCCCACGCAGGTAATATTTTTTTTATTTGTTTTTATTTATTTATTTATTATTATTATTATTTTATTTTTAATTTTTAATTTTTTTCCCACTACCCCATAAAAACATTAGCCATGACCTGGATGGCTCAGGCTAGCCTGATCATGTCAAACCTCAGAAACTAAGCAGGGTTGGCCTGATGCATAATTGTGCAAGAACTGCCTTGATGGATCCAAACCCCAAGGTTTATCTCAGCCAGCATTCTGCTTCCAGAAGAAGCCAAACACATGCCTCTTGGGGATCCTGCAAGCAAGACATGAAAACAACACCTCTCCTCCATTGCCAGCACCCAGCATCTAGTATTCTAAGGAGTACTGCCACTGGACATGGAGGTTCCATTTAGCTATCATGGCTGACAGCCATGAATAGACCATATCTTCTTCCTTTGTGGGAGCCAGTTTGGTGTAGTGGTTAGGAGTGTGGACTCTAATCTGGAAGGACTGGGTTTAATTCCCCACTCCTCTGCAAGAAGCTAGCTGGGTGACCTTGGGCCAGTCACAGTTCTGTCAGAGCTCTCTCAGCCCCACCCACCTCACAGGGTGTCTGTTGTGGGGAGAGGAAGGGAAAGGAGATTGTAAGCCACTCTGAGACTCCAAGTGAAGGGTGGGGTATAAATCCAATCTCCTCTTCTTCTAAAGCCATTTTACCAAGTGGCCACTACACATTGTGAGGCTGTGGTTTTCATGCTTCAATTTATGTGCTATGTGAAGAACTACTTCCTTTTGTCCATCCTGAATGCACTGCCAATCTTCCTCCAGTATTATGACAGAGGGAGAAAACCTTCTCTTTATCCCCTCTCTCTAGATCACTCATAATTTTATAAGCCTCTTCCAAGAAAGCCCCTGACTCTTGACTTTGCGTGGGGAGGAGGTGTTTTCTTCTTATGGCAAACTGACTTCGTACATGCGAATGTGCTATGGTAATACGACGTATCCCAGTGCTTGAATATTAACTCTCTTTTTCCTTTGCTTGTCTTTTTCAGCGGATATCCGACCCAGCGGCAGACCGGTGGGCACTGCTCGGGACCCTCCTCTCCCAAAGATGTCGGGTACAGCTTTCCTTTATTAACCTTAACACTAAATTTAGAGAATCAGATCATAACAAGAGTCCCATCCATCTTGGGTGGTGGGTAGTGCTATTAAGCAGCAGCTGATTTCAGGCAACCCCCTAGTGTCTTCAAGACAAGAGACAAACAGAGGTGCTTTGCTATTTCCTGCCTCTGCGTAGCAACCCTTGACTTCCTTGGTGGTCTCCCATCCAAGTACTAACCAGGACCGACCCTGCTTAGCTTCCAAGGTCTGATGAGATTGGGCTAGCCTGGGCCATCCAGGTCAGGACCATCCATCTTTAACCCCCAATAATGTCACATTTCAGTGCCAGAGCCCAGGGAGAGGGGTAAGAGCTGACATCACCCTAGAAAGACACCGTGATAGCTGTACCAAGTACAATACCAATATACCCCTAGCTGTGGATATATCCTGAAAGTGTATAAACCAAGGTTGGGCAGACTTTCCATCTTCTTGAAAACTCCCTTCTTTCCCCCGTTCTGCTTTTCTTGCTTCCAGTTCCTGCAGATGTCTTTGCAAAGAATTCATTTTGGAAAGGCTCTTACGAATATATGGGCAAGAAGCAGCCGGCCATGCTGTCTGTCACCAGCTTTGACCCAGTGACCAGTAAGGTCAATGCCACCCTAATAGACCACAGTGGTGTAGAATTGCAAGTGTCAGGTAAGGTGGTTTCAAGGAACCTGGCTCGTAGTGGGGATGGAGTCAGTTGCCTTCCCACCCAATTGGGGCACAGTGAAGAGTGTCTGTAGATCAAACTCCAGTTGTTGATATTGTTTTTCCTGGGATGATTGGAAAAGAGAGGGCAGATTCACATACGTAGCTAGGCCAAGGGGTTTTGAGACCCATAGCTGGGCAGTGTCAATAGTGCATACGGGAGACCCAGGCTCAAATCCCTACTCTGCTGTAGAAGCTTGTATAGTGGCCTTGGGTCAATCATACACTATCAGCCTAAGTTACTTCACATGACTGTTGTAGGAATAAAATGCAGCAGAGAACGATGTAAGCCCCTTTGGGGAGAAAGGTAAGGTATAAGTGAAGTAAATAAATAATCCCGCCAAAAGGCAAAGCAGAATTGTTGGACGGAGTGCCCATCTGAGGTCAGTTCCTGGATAGTCAACGCCATGTGGGCACCATCATTGTTCCTGTCCTCGGGGATTTCCTACCCCAGAGTTGCATGATTTTGGTGCCCCCTCACTTGGTTTAAGGAGACTCTTTTAGAGCTCTTTGCAGTCATTTTAGGATTGACAGCATCCTCAGTAACTTTGGGGTCGCCCGTGGACTCAGCCAATGGCATGCCGATGCTCTCCAGCACGGCCCCACTGGAGTCAAATCCAAGCCCAAAGGCTTGCGAGGTTCAGTGGGATGCCGCGTTCTCAGCCTGCAGTGTGCCTTTTTGCCACGCGAGCCTCTCCCTTTTTAAATGTATTTATTTCCATCAAGAATCAGGCACAGACTCTTGAAAGTGCAACCCTCCTTCTGTGTTTTTCTTTTCAGGGATATACAAAAAGGACGAGATGCACCTCCTCCTCCAGGTGTACCAGATCATGGGGCCAGCAGAGATGTTAGTGAATGATAAATGGGCCTTAGACGGACGTGTAAGTGAGCACCGCCCAGCCCATCAGCCTGAGAAGATGGCTCAGCCACGCAGTGTGTTTGCAAAGTTTGCCTGAAATGTTCAGATGGCAAAAAACACAGAGGGGGCTGGGGGGAAAAATTGGAGGAGGGAGTAGAGGGAGAGGTTGCATTACAGGTAAAGAGAACTGACAACCAACCTAACCTTGACTGAAGCATGAGGTCAAGGAGACCTTCAAAAGTAACAGGGAAAATGGTAACACTCCATTTCTGATGTTCTGCACTCGATGTATTCCTCAACTTTAATGAGTTCAATGGCCCTGTCATGTTTCATGCCTCCACTCCCTCCACTTGTAATTATTTTGTAGATTGGAGCATATATTCTAAGGGTATTGGGAGTCGTTTTTATTGCATTGAATAGGAGTCAAATGAGAATACTGGATGAAACTGGGGAGAAATTTAGAGGGTTTTTTAAACCTTTTAATATTTTCCTCCCTACCACCTTTTGCTGATGTTCCATGCCTGTACTGCCCAAAAGAAATAATGAAGTACAGCTTTCTTTTTGTTTTTGCCATGTTCAAAGAAATGCTCAAAGGTATTTGTTTATTTATTCCTTTGGGGGTCTATTTGACATCCAAATCAGATTGGGAAAATACATGTTTTGGTTCAAGTAAAAGTTTTTAATAATGGTTGTATAGACCTTGTTCTAGCTCCCTTCCATCAAATATACAAGATCTTCCAGGATGTAAGAGCATAGTCTTTGCACGGGTAACTCTAGTTCTGGTTCACCAAGATGGCTCCACTGCATTATGTCTCTCCTGACACCCCTTTTTGTTCAGACTTTTAGAGCTTTATTATTCTGCGCAAGGGCCCTGATTTCTTCACTGTGCTTTAGGTTTTTATCATTCTAAGCAGGTTTCATAGTTTTTGTTGTTTTTGTTGTTTTGTCTAGACTTCTCTCATAGGAATTCTACAACTAAAGCTCCTCTCTATATACAGTCTATAAAGCTCCTCTCTATATACAGTCTATAAAGCTCCTCTCTATATACAGTCAGAAACTTCCAATTATACAGTCTGTTGGTCCTTCCCCAATGCAGGTCACCCCTGAGTCATCAAGTGGGACGTTTGTCTACCAGGGATTTGTGCATGGCAAAGGTTTTGGACAGTTCGGCCTCCAGAGGCTAGGTAAGCTGGCAGGTGTTGTTTACAGGCTGAAGTCATCGTTTCCATTTTTTGGTAATTAGATTTTGACAACAGACTCCCATTGCATTAATACCTGTCCTTGGCAAATGGCAAAGTGACATTTCAGTTAATTTACATGCTACCTTTCTACCTTAATAAGGCAAACACTGTAATTATCTGTTGCATTCCTATGTGGCAGGCACATGCTGGGGTCCCCAGCCTCTTCCTCTGGATTATAGCCTAATGCCGATTTTCCTCTTCAGACAGCAGAACTGAGCATGATCCCGAGTCGATGGGGCATCCCTTTGCATCCAACAGCAGTTCGGTGGCGGCTGCTATCCTTGTGCCTTTCATTGCCCTGATTATTGCAGGGTTTGTGCTGTATCTCTACAAACACAGGTGAGTCCTTTGCGGAAGCGAAGCCAGAGAGGCAAGAACTGGGAAGGAAGATTCTGCGTTCCTTTCATTTGCATCTTTCAAACCAGAAGTGGTGTCAGCCAGCTGCCAGTCTGAAGAGAGGGGGAATGGGAAAGTGCCTGCTTAACCCTCTCCCACTCCTGTCACATCACCACTTGAAACAACCCTCTCTAAGCCGCTTTTGTCCTTCTGAGTGAGAAAGTCACTTTCGGGATGCAGTTTTGCATGCACAAACTTTCAAGGAGAGGAAGGGTTAAATAGTGACACACACACACACGACTGTTGATTACGGCCTCTGAGGCTACTTTTCAGTAAAGAATAAAAACCAGAGGAAAGAGACGTAGGTCTCATTGCCATGCCTGCTTTCACCTTGAGCAGCATCCTTGAAAATGGAGGAAGGATTTGAGGTTTTCAAATATGACTTAAGGTTCTGTATGCTGGCAGCGTTTGTAATGAGAGAGGGGAGAGTGATCACGGAAGGGATTTTAAGGGACTGGGTGGTTTGTCAAAATGCTGGGAGTGAGACATCCGTTGGGATGTACTCAGAGAAGGAAACGAATGATGGGCTGTCCCTGCAACTGTCTCGTCATTCAGTGTACAGTGGGATGGGGTGGGAGGGAACACCTTTGGTACCAAGCAGTATGGACTGAGCCCCGAGTTGTCTGTGCAACATACTGAAAAACGGAGGTGAGGTTTGGCAACTCTTGGCACTGCCCATATGCATGCAGTACTGGTGGGGGTGGGGGGGAGATGCAGAACAGAAGGGCTTGGTGGCTGTCTGGCCATTTCACACCTAAACAATAATGCTGAGGGACTGTCTCCAACTCAGTTGTTGGTCTGATTTGATACAGGAGGAGACCGAAGGTGCCGTTCAATGGCTATGCGGGCCACGAGAACACCAACGTCCGAGGCACGTTCGAAAACCCGATGTATGACCGTAACTTGCAGCCGACAGACATCATGGCCAATGAGGCAGAGTTTACAGTCAGCACCGTGTGCACCGCAGTATAGCACTTGCAATCTCGCACAGTAAGTCTGACTCTGCTAGCCACATCTGTGCTATTCACCTGCCCCATGCACTACCCCAGCTTAGTTTTTTAATTTGGAAAACATTTCCTAGTCTTCATTTCCCTTTCCATTGTGCCAACCCTTCTACGGCAGGCCACTGTTCTTCCCATGCTGCAGGGGGGTATAAATGACTTGCTGAAGGCTGGAGAGTTGTCTCCATGTTTCCCAGATCCAAGTCTGTCCATTGGACCACAAATATCTGATGATCGGGAACAGGCCTGTGCCTTCTCTGAGTCTAATATTTACGCTACCCCACTGTCCTTTGCCGTGTCCTGGATAGCCCAGGCTAGCCCAATCTTTTTTTATTATTATTTTTATTGCATTTTCACTATATACTACACAGGGCAAGGGATAAGGAAACACTAACTAAAACATATAGCTAAACCGGGATCTAATACGATACAGATAGCTTATTTTAAAGTTTCCTTTAGCTTTAACATTCTAAAGATGGAAGATGAGATTAACTGTTTCAAATATAATTCAGCATAAACAATATTAGCCAAATAGGTGTATTCTGGTACATTAGACTTAATAGTATTAAACTTTCAAAATTGGTTCATTATTTCATAGAATCATAGACTCATAGAATGTTAGAGTTGGAAGGGACCTTACAGGTCATCTAGTCCAACCCCCTGCACTCTGCAGGAGCATAGCTGAAAGATAGACCTACATACCTACAACATACCCGAAAGATGGTCATCCAGCCTCCGCTTGAAAATGTCCAGCGAAGAAGCATCCACCACCTCCGGAGGCAGACTGTTCCACTGCTCAACTACTCTTACAGTTAGGAAGTTTCTCCTGATATTTAGCCGGTAACGACTCCCTTGTATTTCTTCTTTTTCCCTTTATGTTTATCTTTGTCATAGTCCCATCTGACTTTGAGAAGTATGGGGGCGGCTTCTCCCATATCAGATTCAGAGTCTTCTTCTGAGGAACTGCCCGATGTACTGCTACTACTTCCTGACCCATTTTTGCTGTTATCTTCCTCTGCATTGTTGTCCTCCACTTTTCCTTTCTCTTTCTCTGTTTTTTGATGCTCTCCAAAAATGCTTTGGCTTTTGCAACAGAGTCTATTTTTTCTTTTTTCTCCTTAAAGTTGAAGATAAGTCCCTCTGGTAAGATCCATCTGTAAGGAGTGGGATTTTTCTTTAGAAAAGTTGTCAATTTTTTATATTGTTGTCTCTTCTTTCTTATCTCAAATGGAATGTCTTTTAAGATTCTAATTTCTTCACCTTTGATTTTTAAAGTAATCCCATTGGTCACTTTAAGTATTACATCTCTGGTAGACCTCTTAGAGAATTTCACAAATATTTCACTGGGTAGTTTATTTTTCTTGAATGTAGTCTGGATAAGTCCGATAGATCACATCCATCTCACTTTGTATAAATATCGCTTTGAGGTCTACTACCGGTGCCACGGCTTCGCTTAAAATCTCTGAGAGGTTTTCCCCTTTTTGTTCCGTGATACCTTGGAATCTCAGGATATATGATGATTTTTCCATTTGTACTTGTAGCAGCTGTTGTTTATCAGAGTCTTTCTCTTTTTCCACTGCCTCCAGTCTCTGATTTAACATTTTTGTCTTAGCATCAACTTTTCTCAAAGACTTTGCTGTTTTTTCTGTTTTTATATTAGTTTCTTTTAGCTGCTTTTGGAGAGTTTCAAAATTATTATTAAGATGGGTCATCTGGTCCAGTAGAGGGCACAATGCAGTGGCTAGCATATTAGAAAAGTCTATGGTTGCTTCTGGTTTGGAAGCAGAGGCTGCTGAGCTAGCAATTCCTGAAGAAGATCTCACTTTCAGCGCCATTTTTTCAGCCCAATGTGACATTGTTTACATTAGGAAAAAGTTCAAAAAAGTCTCTGTAAGTTTGTTAGATCTCTCTCTTTAAACAGACTGCACTCTATTTGGACTATATAATGCTTTCCAAGCAGCTTTCCCCCTTCTACCTCTTAAAGTTGCTTTTTTTTTCTCCCGGGGTGAGCTCAGCTCGATTCCCTCCGCTTTTAAGTTTGAGGATTTGGGGGAAGCTGCGGCTTAGATGTTTGTCTATTTTAAAGGCATATGGACTCACACTTCATTGGCTGCTTGCTTCAACAAGGTAAGGAAAGATTTAAGACACTAGATCTCCTGTTCACTTTCCCCGGTGTGCATCTCAGTCGCCATTGCTGGTCTCGCAGTGGCGGGACCTGTTGGGGCAAAGAGGAGCTTCAATCCCTCGGCCGTTGCCTCAGGAGCGGCACCTCTTGTGCCCCAGGCCACGAGCCCCTCCGAGGACTCTGTGGGGGACCAGAATCATCCAGTACCCCTCCGCCCACTATGATCCTGGGTCGCGTTCATCGGAGCATGATGAAACACTCCTGTCAGCGAGTCACCAAAACCGGAAACCCAGGCTAGCCCAATCTCATCACATCTAGTAAGCTAAGAAAGATTGGCCCTGATCAATGCTTGGATAGAAGACCACCAAGTCCAGGATAGCTAAGCAGAGGCAAGCAGTGGCAAAACACTTCTGTTCCTCTCTTGCCTTGAAGACCCTACTGGGTCTACATAAGTCAGCTGCAACTTGACAGTACTTTCCACCATTTCTTCACTTAATCAGCTTTGTGATGTCTCTCTGTCCATGTCTTTTGATCTGCCCATGATCCCAGGAAATCCACTGCAGGGGCTGCTGAAGGCCATTGGGGGTATCTGAGCACTGAAACTGTCCCCCTTTCCAAAAGTGGAGAGAACACTCCCTCTTTGTCCAAGGTGATCCTTCATCTCCCAGAGTTAGCTAGCACATTGAAAGGTTCAGACTGCCAGACTGGCCTGTGATAGCTGCAGTCCCCACAAGAAGAATGTGATCCATTCTCATAGTCAGCAAGAACAGAAGATAATGGGTGTGGTCATAAGGCAAGCTTACAGTGATTTGTTCCTGCTGAAGATTTGATCGGGAATTTGGGACGGGGGGTTGGGATGACCATGCATCCCTCTCTGAACCGTTTGCATCACGCAACGAGGCTCAGGGCACCGTTTAGATAGCCACTCCACTGCTTGGGCGGCACAACTTGTTTTTGTTTTTTTTAATGGCATTGCGCATGCGCATATACACATGGCCGAATTACCACTCCCACTGGGACTCGCCGTACTCCCTTGTTCTTGCAGGTTCCCCCCCAAACAGCAAACCAAATTAACTGGTGACGTACAACTGAGTGCTGGAGTCTATATGTGCACTTGAACGTTTATACATTGAATTTATTCAATGCAGGATTGCTCATGCGCATAACGGCAGAAGCATGTAAAAAAACATTGCGAGAAGGACGCTCAGGTGACCTAATCGTAATCACTGTGAGAGATAGATGTCCAGATCAGCAAAATCACAGATTCAAAGTGCAAATATCTGGAAAGTACGTGATTTTCTGGGTGTAGGAAAACTCGCTAGGGAACCGGGAGGATTGTGTGAGTGAGCCCACTTCGGTGCAGGAGACAGATGCGGCCATCTGATCAGCAATTTTAGATGCAAGAGGGAACAGCAGTGAAACCCAATCAAAATGACCGTGTGACCATGGCCAATAGCATGGAATGATGTGTTGAACCAAAGTTTGTTCCTTGTGTCAATTGGGTCATATTTCTCTCTCCCTCTGTTCTACTACAGCATTCTCCAGGGACAGGAGCCTCACCAGCGCCCAGTGGTCCTTCTGGTTCATTTTTGTCCATGATCATCGCTCCCCAAAGTTGGTGGGGCTGTGGCATTGGCATGGTGCCTTTGCGCTGATCCAGAGAAAGAGGGAGAGAGACTGCCTTTCTATCCATCACTGCTCCACATCTTCATCGCCGATCTGTCCTGCTCTGCAGCTGATAATCGAATCAACCAAAGCATCCCCTCCTGCCCATGTGTGGAGGCTGAGGGAAGCAGAAGCTTGCTCTCCCCCCATGCTTCTTCACCTCTGAGCTGTTTCCCAGCCAATCCTGGCCAGCTTCAGCACTCGCTGACTCTGATGCGGAGAGACCAAAGTCCATCCCGCTGCTCGTTTGTGGTGGATTATCGCCTTCTGGTGAATATCTCCTGGTGACATGGAGAAGCCGAATGGTATTCGTCCCCTGGTTATGGGATTAGGTGACGGACCCGCAGGAGAAGACAGCCGACCAATTTGTTGTGGCTGAGAAGGCCCTGTGGATGCAGAGAGCTTGGAACAAAATCTTTTTGAACTAAAATGGCAGATTTAACAAAAGGAGAAATGGTTGTTTTGTTTCTGTTTATTCTTCCCCACCTTCACCTAATCATACCTATGTCTTTCATGTGAACAGCCTACCACAAAGATCTGAGGTTTCTGAAAAGTCTGACCCTCCCCTCCCCAGTTCTAAGCATCCTCTCCTTCTGCACTGTAGACGGACTTTGCTTTTATTACGGTCTGCTGCATTTTCTTATTTGGGTTCCAGATGTTAGACCGGTTCAAATCCCGCCGGTTAAACCGCTGCTGCCGTTGCTGCATTTTTCTTGCTAGCTTTGGTCAGACAGCCAGAAAGGAAGAGCTTTTCCAACAGCTTGTTCCCTGGCATGAGGGACAGATGGATTTTTGCATGGCTGTTGCAGGGAACGCAATTTATGCGTTTATTGCAGGTCAGTTACAATTTGCCCACCCTCAAATTGCCATGTTTTGTCATTGGAAAAACATGGAATTTCTTTCCCTCTCTTTCAATTATCTTTGGAATGCCCTCTAAAATGTGGCCGCATGAGGCTCATGGGCACCTATTGGATAACATCTGTGACGTCACTGGTGCCCTGAGCCACTAATTTATTTTTCTGATTTTTTTTAACCCTAGAGCCGGTGTTTCCTGTACCACCTCAACAGGAGCTCTCATAGACCCTTCAAATGTTTGCGTGTGAAACTGGCAAAATAACCAGCAAGGATGCTCCCATCATGAACCTTCCCCTACCACCCTTCATTAAATTCTGTGATGTGTGCTCCCCTCACTCAAGTGCTGGAGTAGCCAGTTGCCCTGTCAGGGCAAGCCAGTGATCAGACCTAACCCACTGATTCCCGTTGCTGCCGTAAATGCAGGATCATGATCTTCTAACCTGGATGATGACTTTAATGCTAATAGGAAAATCCAGAGTTTCCTCATTGGGTTGAAGCCCAAAATGTGTTTCCATGGTTGGAAGGATTTCTGCCAGCGGAGCACAGCATTTCAGGGGCATTTGGGGTGGCAGCGAGAGGTGGGAAGTGAGACAGTCATGCTTCACTGGTGGAAATCCTTCCAGCCACAGAAATGCTGTTGTATCTGAGCCGTTCTCCGGAGCGCAGCCTTCTATTTGCTTTGATGACAAGTTTGTTTAGGCAATTGGTGGGTGCTTCCCAGTATCCCAGCTCTCCTTTCTGAAGTTGTTTTTAACCTGACCATTACAAAGCATATGAGGCTACTAACACATAAGACTGTCTTATTGTGCATCCTCACATCTGATGGCCAACGATGCAGTGAAGACTTACATAATTCTCTCCTCCTCCATGTTATCCTCACAATAATCCTGTGAGGTAGTTTAGGCCCAAGGTTACGCAGCAAGCTTCCATGGCAGAGTGGGGATTCAAACCTGGCTTTTCAAGATCCTAGTCTGACATTCTAACCACCACACCACATTGGCTCCTGTGTTTTCCTTGACGGTATGAAGAAGACATGGGGTTGGGGGGCAACAAAGAGTCTACCAAGTCACAGCAGCCCCGCTCCCCCTGTCATGTCTAAAAAGAGCCTTTGGCTAACCTAGTAGGCAGGGGGGGCTGTCCTACTTCGATGGTGCAACTCATTTGGTGGGACAAAGGGGTGGCAGAGCCCACCTTCCAGCCAAAGACAGTTGTGCCTGCCGTTCTAAACCACATTAATCTAAGATCTAGTTGGGAGTGTTTGAGAATTCCATTCTGGGAGTTCTGTGACTGAGTTCGCCAACATTTTTCCCTTTTAAAAAAGCAGGTGGGAGGTTCCACACTTTACTTTGAGACTGCAGATGGGAGGAGTTAACCCTTCCCCACCCCACTATTTTTGTTACCCGAAATGGATCTACAGTGCTGCTGTTTGCTCCACTGGAGTAAACCTTAGGGGTGTGCAATCGGATATTGCCACCTTGATAAAAATGCCTGATAATTGTAGTATCAGGTTAGATTGGCAATATCCAGTAGCGTGAATGTACTCTTCACATGTTCCAGTTTTGATATTTCACTTCTGATAAATATCAGAAATGTCCAGAATTGTGTTGGGAGACGTTTCTGTTCTATGGCCTGACTGCAAAGTGGAGGGAACATACCCCAACTGGGCTGCTGCCCACCAGCCCTTTAAACACGTTGACCGATTTCACACAAGAGCTGCGCCGCGGTCGCGCCTCCCTTTGCCCCGCTTCTATTGGTCAATTTCCCACTTGAAGCCTCAAAAAACGGGATCATGAAACCACGGGAAAAATCGGGCAAAGCCGCGGGTCAAAATGTGGCCACATGGCGCAGCCCTTTGTTTGAATGGGTGGTAGACCTGGACTCCAGGGGAAATAATGGCCCCTTAGACTTCAAAAGGCAGGTGTGCCATGACCATCCAGGGCTCACTTCTCCTTCTCAGTCCCCTTTCCTGTTTTCTGGGGAGGCAGTAAAAATTATCATTTTAATCTCATCTTGTAATTTCAAAACCGGCATGGTTATTATTATAAGACACAATGGGCAGACATTTTGTATGAATTAAAACAGAATTCTCTCCCCCCCCCAGTGTGGCTTTTCGATACAATAACAATACTTCTTGTGTTTAATGAAAATGATAATCATGCCCTTCTGAACATTTTGATACAGAATTGAAATTATCTTTTTTGAACAGCAGACCCCTTGTAAACATGAAGCTCCTTTTGCAAGTCCTGATCAGGACAAGCAGGGTAAACAACAGATCTTCAGGGCCATTTCAGGCAGCAGGAGGAGACTTAAACATCCACAACCGCCCCATAGTACCAATCCGTATTGGGCTCCACACACCTGCTTTTTAAAGTAAACCACTCGGGAGCACTCAGCACCATGTGCAATTTGATTCTTCCTGAATGCAAATGCATCTGTTCTCTTCTCTTTCAGCATTGTGATTAGCAGGACTCTGCCCTGTTTTGTCAAGAATCTGTAGCTGACACCTCAGACAGGAAGACAAAGATCCTGGTTTTTGTTGCCTGCCCATAAACTGCAAGCTGGTGCAGCCTCAGTTTGCTTCAGAGCCACGCAAGGAAGGAAAGCTCTCCAATGGTCCACTTAGTTTTGCCTAAGCAAAACATGGCTGCCCTGCTCTACTTGCATTTTAATGGGGGCAAGAGACCCGGGTGCCGCATGATGGAGTGAGCTCCCGTCTCTAGTTACAGCTCCTGCCAACCTAGCAGTTTGAAAGCAAGAAATTGCAAGTAGATAAATAGGTACCACTTCGGTGGGAAGGTAACAGCGTTCCGTGCCCCTTGGTGTTTAGTCATGCCAGCCACATGACCACGGAAACGTCTTCGGACAGTGCTGGCTCTTCGGCTTTGAAACGGAGATGAGCACCGCAACCCTAGAGTCGGACTCGACTGGCTTTCGAGCAAGGGAACCTTTACCTTTAAGTGCTTTTTAGGAGGATGCATCTTTTCTCCTTGAAAAAGCTAACAGCAGAGCCAGGCAGCCAGTTTCGAATAGCAAAACCATGTGGATGTTGAAGAGTTAAATCCCTGACTCTTCTTTTACATGGCCCTGAGGCAAACCACGGTTGTGGCTTCTATATGTCTGTGGATATGGGGTCCTAATTCTAACTCTCAAAACAGTGCATCAGAGCTGAACGCTCCCCCTGTGCAACCCCCAGGAACTTCCCTGGTATGCTGAAGGGCCAGTCTGCCCCTGCTCCCCATCTTAACTCCCTGCAATCCACCACCCAGCCTTCCCATGGCTTGTTTGCCCCAATCACTTTTCTCCCAGCATGCCACGGTTCTAATATTAGAGCCTCCAAAGAAGGGATTCCACACTCCTCACCTGCACAGCTTCTTTTGATAATGAAACTGGGCACTCCATCCACTTCTGCTTTAGTGGGGTCGATATGTCAACAAACATAAGCAGTTGTTCCTTCCACATGTAGGATTTAGCAGTACACCTTTATCACTGAAAATATAATCCAGCCAACTCCAGGCATCATAACAGCAGAGGCTGATCCCAAACCAAATCCATGGCTAAGCCCAAATCAAAGCCCACTGTTGCAAGATATTTCATTTAATGTTGAGTATATAGCCTGGGTTTAACAAGTAACTGCCATTTTTGCAAACATGTCCAATCTTTTACAAGCACCAACTTCTTACAAGAGTCCATTTCACAAGTTACCAGTTGCTGACATTCATGTATTTTCATACTGGAAACAGAATAGATTTCAAATGACTATAAGTGCCCAGGTGGCATGTGGCTATATTGCAACATGCTGTGCTGATTGTCTTCGATGTTCAAAGTACATTCTAGGCAAGGCTATTTTTGTGTAATGGTGCTCACTGGTACTGAGTACTGGCAGCTTTTTTCAGAGGGAAGGGGAAATTGGTAAAAATCGGTGGAAACTTTTAGAAAAAACAAAAAAACCCACTGATCTTAGGACTTAATATGTGATGGGGAAATTTGAAGCACAGGATATATAGATTGTCAGCCAAGGGTCAGATATTACCAGAAGTTCCTGCCACCACTCACCAGCTGGGCCTGTTTG